TACCCCCATTACTGTGACAAAGGGTTGTTGTTATCATGATAAAGAAATTACACGTGTATACATGGTTTTCATTTTGGCTCAGGAAACGAAGAGTATCGTCTATGGACCTACGTGTTTGCCTAAAGAAGGACATAGCGAAAATAGCCACGTCTTTGGATGCAAGGGCAGCTGGCCCCAATCGTATCTTATCTGAGGATACTTCGTTTCAATTTAACACACATAGTTTTAGGATTCTGACACGTCTTACATACTTCCCACTCCCACAAATCCTCCAAGAAAACAATAGGATTATAGCATACGTTGTGTCGCCAGGTACATGGCATGAGAACTATAATGTGCATGGCAATATCCGACTAATTTCATACACTCGATACTCCTGGTGATTAAAACTAAAACGAGGACACATTTTAAAGACTTAGAACCTTGAACTTTACCTGTGAGATGCAGACATGATGACAGGTGACCTCATGCCATGCAATATGACGTTCATTCCACACACACACACCACGAACAACCAAAGCCATGAGTTATGCACGTGCAGGCATGGTCCGGGGTAAAAGCATGTGCATTTTGGATATTAAATACCGGTTGGGTATTCACACGAGACTGGGTGAGTTAGTTTGGTTTTACGCCACTTTCAGCAATATTCCAGCAATATCACAGTGGGGAACTCCAGAAATGAGCTTCACACAATCGATCTGAGGCTTTCGGAGTGACAAGTGAAGGCTTTAAACCACTAGGCTACCCCGCCGCCCCTATTCACAGGAGGAGGTCTGCGATGCCTAGACTGCCGCCTGTACAAATGGCCCTTGGGATATTGCATGCCGGGATATCTGCAACTGCTGTAGCCAGACAGTAAGGATGTCATCATTTCTAGCACAAGAATTGCACGTCACCACAGGACAGGATCTGTTGTTGATCGACCACTTCTGGCCGACCTGGTTACAACACCTGCACAAGATCGCTTCATAATAAGGGTCAGACATCTCAGGAACTCGAAGAGGCGAGGTTGTACCGCCGGTGCCATACACGCTGCTGAGGAAACATGAGTCACTACGAAGGGTAACTCTCTTTGACCCAGTCGTCTAAGGCTCCGCGATTCGCTGTGCAGTGTTGCGTCCCTTGGGCACGCCAGAAACCTATAATTGTGGGTTCGAATCAAAATATGCTTTGTTCAGGATACTTGACTTTTGTTATTTGCAGCATAAAATGGTTTCTAGTCCAACATCTGTTTTGAAGCTTTCTTGCGCAAAACCTCCTCTCCAGCTCGCTGATTAGATGTCTCGAAACACATTTGCCAGTACTGGCCAACAGGTGACTGTAATTTGTGTTCACTTGACCCCTTATCAATTTTATTTGGTCGACCCGCGTTGTATACAACCGTTCAGGATTCGAGAACACGTGCAAATAGTGAGAGAACAGTAGTATACAGTCAATTATATTTATATTTATACATGTAACTTTGTTTAAAGGGCAAGTAAACTGGACATCTGCAACTTCGCAGATTGTAATTCTTTTGGGCACGCCTAATCACAAATGATTGACTAAAATCATATTTTGAAAAACGGGAGCAGATGATTAAAAATCATGGCCCAAACGAAAATATCCGCCACTTGGGTTAAAATGGCTGCGCGATTTCAACGATCGGTAAGCGCCTGGTCTTCCCGCTTTCACTTCTGATTTTTTAATCAGGGTTTTTCTGTCTGCTCACGTGTTTGATTAACGTGTCCACAACTTTGCTAAGAATGAGTAACAACATAGAAGTGGGCACTTAAGTACAAAGAGAAATTCTTCAATTTCAATCGGACAAGTTATGCATGTTCTATTGTGGACATTAAAAACGATGATATCTTCCAGTTTCTAGGCCAAGTTGTGTGAAGAAAAGATGTTATTTTTTTTATACAGGAGGGACAGATATCGGAAGAGAATATTGTAAAGTATGAATATCAACAATATTGTTTGATAAATCGTACATTTGGAAGAATTTATTTCGAATAAACTGAAAATGCACGATAGCCAGTTATTTTTCCGCGTAGCTCCAAGCACCATTACAAGACTGTGGAACAGTTATCGGATACACGGGACAAGACTGAACCTTTCCAGGTCCGGTCAACCACGTATCACTACTAAAGCACATCATCGATTCATACGGCTACGTCACTTACGTGAAAGATCCACCACAGCCACCTCTACAACTACGACAATGCCAACATTGCGTATATCAGCCCAGACAGTGAGGAACCGTTTAGCGCTGAAGGTATTCGCGCAAGACAACCAGTTCGAAGGTCATTTGGGCGGACCTGCATCGTCGCTGCGACGTCAATGGTGTCAAGGTCACAGAGTATGGCCACAACTGGGATGGAGACAAATCTGGTTAAGTGACGACTAACGTTTTATGCTTCGCGGGGAATGTTTATAGGCGTCGCGGGGAATGTATGCAGGAAACTGGACAGATTTGGTGGTGCCTGGTGGTTGTGCGATGATGTGGGCTGCCATCTTCTTCACTGGTAGAACAGGTGAGGCGATGTGAAATGGGGTTTGACGTCGCGTCCAATATTATTGCACTTATATAGCTACGTGCATGTACGTGTGTGTTTACGTGGCTGCTTGTACTAGTCGGGACTGATGCCGATTTATAGTGCTAGCACACGGAGATACCATGCCGCAGTTTAACATGAATACCCAACTCAGACACAGTATACTGACTCCGAGCCGACCAGTCCTTGTCTTAGCCCCATAATGCCGAGCGCCAGACAGGGTAACATCAAGTACCATCTTTTAACGTCTTTTGGTATGAAGCGGCCGGGGTTCGAAACCCGGACCTTCCGCTCTCTGGGCTGGTAGAACAGACTTGGTGCAAGGGAACTTAATGGCACAAGGTTACACTGATAAGATTCTTCAGCCACACAGCCTTCCCATTATGCAACAAACAAACGTTATTTTCCAACAAGACAACGCCCGACCTGGCACTGCAAGACTGACAACAGACCTTTTGAGGAATCACAACATCCAGGTCCTGCCATGGCCATCCAGGTCTCCAGATTTAAACCCAATTGAACATTTATAGGATGCACTGGATCACCGACAGCGAGCACGTCAGCAACAACACCTCCGACAGTTGGGTAAACATTCACCAGGGAACAATTTTGGGTCTAATCACTGCCATGGGATGATGATGCCAGTTTTGGACTCAAATGGTGGCCATAAAAGATATTGAAAACAGATGAACTTCACCGTGATCACCTTGAAAATCTAGTGTTCCAAGTGTGCTATATGGAACCTGGGTCAATGAAAATGATGTGTACAAGTTTTGAACAAGTGTTTACCATTTGCTGATTATTTATATGATATATATATTTTGTATGTTTTCTGTATTATTATACACAGGTTGTGGTAATGGTGTTAGCTTCAGTTACTGTATGCCCTCATTGTTTATCATCAGTTTTTCTATATGTCATTCTTGTAAGATAAGGAGCCTAAGTCCAACATCTTTCCCAGGCAAGGGAGTTAGCTGACTGTAACTAGGCTGGAATTTCTGGGCTCGAAGCGGCACCAGTGGCTTTTACAGGTTATGTCCCTTCTATGTCCATCCTATTGATCAAATAGATTCCACGTCTCATATCACTAGTAATTGCTTTGAACAAAATTGCCAGACCCAGTGAACACGATCGATAATCAAGATCTTTATTGTTATAAAATGGGTCTTCTTCGCGAAGTGCATCAAATCAAGTTAGAACTTTGACTAGAAACATGAAGGGTTTGGAATATATATGTTCATGCTAAATTGAGGGTACACATTCTTTGCAAATCCTGCAATCAACTGAAATCTGCTTGGCAGTTTACGAACCGGATGTCGATTTCATTATGCGATTTTATTGGACTATGCATAGACTCGTTAGTCCAGCCAAAATATAACTCCATAATTCCAGCCTAGTTCGGCAAGGGTGGAAATTGGACTTTTATAGTCAGTTAACATCCTTGCCTCGGGAAGATGAAGTCCAAAGACATAAAGTAAAGAGGTACATAGAGTTAAGTGATTAAAAAGGAGAATGGCGTATTGATTTAAGAAACACCTTATGCTTTGTATCGAGTCGGAGATGTAGAATTACACTGCAAATCCTACAGCACACATTGGCATATTTATCTTTAATCCATAGCCCAAGGTATGACATAAGACTACTGATGATAACCAATGACTGGATGAGGGAATACTGCATGTACAGTAACACAGCTACCAGGTAAATATCGGTGTATAGAGCCTTCTCACTTTAAGATAACTGATTTCGGCAAATAACATACTGGTTTATGCTGACATCAAAGCATCGGTTTGAAATATGGCATCATGGACAACCAAATGTAAAACTAAAAGGAATGTACAAATGATGCCAAAATGTCAACCTCATGCTGAGCCATCACTATAAATACGAATGCAGATCACAGCGATAACTACAGTGACAGCTGTATGGACAGAAGACCCCTCTACGATGACAGCTGGAACAAAAGTTTACTTTGTCTCTTCTGATGACTGCTAAAGGGATTACTGCCTCAAAACATTGCAGCACCATCATGAAAACAAGGTAACTGTTTCTATCTCTGTTTCAAAAACATTCATTCACTCACTCCATTCCAAGGGTGACATGCTAAACATTGCTCAGCAGACTGATAATTTGAAACCATACGTTTAGGATCAAGATTTCTTCCAAACTACCCTCAGAAACTGAAAGATGAAATTTAATAATAGTAGTACCATCATATTAATAGCGGATGAAATTTTCAAATGTGATTATGGAGTCATTAAATTTTAGATATACAATATGATATGATAGACTATAAATATGACATTGTATGATGGTCAGACACATGCTCAGGCCCATGAAGCAGGTTCGTAATATTGGTAAACATAAACTGCATCCGTGATACATTGTGACACATATGTAAATAAGGTCATGTCCTGTGGACAAACACTTCCATCAATTAAATGCAAGTTTTAACTACTAAAGAAATGTTAAACTCTTTTATTAGCAAATAGTTTAAGCTGAATAAAAGAATTGTTCAAGTCCATCAAGGAACCTATCAGTTAACACAGAACTATGAATAAGGAAGAAACACAGATCTGAATACTTATGACACTAATCTTCAAACTGGGTACAGTGGTATTCTTATTTTTGACTCTGTCCATATGTTTTCTGCACTTGTGGCCACATCATACCTACACACCATAGCACTAGGCTTGCTTGTCCGGATGATCAAGAAGTTGAGATCTTATTCCAACTTTTTGCAATTCTTCAATTAGTTCTCCATTTTTGTGCATGTCCAGTAAAATATCACATCCTCCAATAAACTCTCCATTCATATACACCTGGGGAATTGTTGGCCAGTTACTGAACTCCTTTACACCTGCAATGTAAACACTATGTTTAAGTCATGTTATCATAATACAATAGGCAAGTATGATAAATAAGTAATTATGTGATTTAAGAGCCCACATTATCTCTGTCTGCCTCATTTGAAAGAAAGCACACAACCAGCAATAACAGGATCTAACTATGACAGTATCTCTTTATGCAAATTGTATGATGGATTGCTTATTAATAACTAGATTTCTACATGGCATGATGAATAATAATACACTAAATTTAACAAAATTTATCAACTATAGGTACTCAAGTCTAGGCTTTACCTTGTCTTAGATCTTCATCAGCAAGTACATTGTGTGCGTCGTAATCATCAACGCCGTGGAAGTTGAGGATCTGGACGACAGCATTGCTAAATCCGCACCTTGGAGCATCAGGCGTGCCCTTCATGAACACAACAACTTTGTTGTTTTGCACCAACTTTTCAAGATTCTCCTTACTGCCGGCAGCTGACGAGAATCTAATTGCTGCCAGGCGACAAAATGTCATGGGAACCCTTGACAAGACTGACTTTGTCAACAAACGATTCATACTTGGCTGTCTGTAAAACGCAATATGATGTAAATAAATCGAGCATAAACGTGAGCCTAGCAACTACTTCCGGGAAGTCTGAACAACGAAAAATAGTTTCAGTATTTATATTGTATAGCGAGCATTTTATATCGCCATTACATATAACATTGTATTATATGAGAGAAAAATATATGTTACCTAATTGAGATACAAACATACCACAATAGAAAACAAATAGATAATACTTATATTAATACGCGTATATATTTTACCGCGCAGGTCAGAAATGTGAACTTCCGTTGACTTGCTTCCGCTTTTGTGGCAGTCACGGTTGAGGGCTGTATCTACTAAGTTTTGTGTGATGAATTAATTCGATCTTTAACAACTAAGATGTCTACAGTAGCTGACATGCTTGGGCAACTAAAGACGGCTGTCGATTCCAACCGCACTGACGTTATTTGCACTATCATATCAACGTGGAAGAAAAGTAAAAGTTTTGCTAACTTTTCAATCATGAGTGTTTTTGCCGGCTTGTCAGTAATCATAACGATTACCGGTATAAGTACTCCAGCATTGCTTCATCGAACTATTGAAATTTAATATGCTTTAAAAGTGCAAAGATCATGGTTTGAAAAAGAAACTGAAGTGGCATAGTAAAATACAAATGCTGGGCTTGTGTTCGGGTGCTGTGACAACTGTTGCCATACTGCCAGGCTACGTTGATAATACCTTAGAACCGTCTCTGAAAAGACCCAAAGATCTGAGGCGATAGCTTTAGTATTAGCGGTAATTCATTTCACAGAAGTAATTTTTGGAACATGAACAACTGCAATCTTGTCGTTTTGACGCCAGCTAAAATAAACCGTTTAGCAATATATATGGTTTCAGTTAACATAGAATGGCTATGATAATTATTTGTTTGTTTGTTGTTTAATGCTGCACTCAGAAATATTCCAGCTAGAGCAGTCTGTAAATAATCTATTCTTGACCCGACAATCCAGTGATTAACATTATGAGCATCAATCTATGCAATTGGGATACTTTGAAATCCATCAACCTGATCCCCATGATCCCATTGAACGCCTCTTACGACAAGCATGGGTTGCTGAAGACCAGTTCTAACCCAGATTTTCACGGGTCCATGTCCTGCATTTGACTTCCATGTCCATGGTCCTGTTAAAACAAACTTACCACACTGTCCATTGAATGATTATATTGAAGAAGAGGTGTTCCGCCCCCTTTATCCCCAGGTAAATGCTCTGACAAAGATATAAAGACAGCAGCAACCGAAAAATTGGCCTCTGTAAAATCACCTTGCTTTGACTGTAAAAATCAAAATATGCATGCGTGGAGCTTTCTATATTTGTAAACTTCTGTAAATACAATAAACATACCCTCCGGACTACCTGATTACGAGCCCTGTTGTAGCAAATTAAGGAAAATCGTTATTTTGTTCAAAATTGGGATAAGTTTAATGTTCCTATTTTCTTAAATTCATATGTCTGTCTTTTAAACATTCAATTTGTATATTAACACTACATTCAATAATGTAGTAAGCATTAAGGCCTCTTCTGTGAGATATAACTACAGTCGAACTTCTTTACCTGCTTTTTCTCGAAGGAACCGATATCTCGAAACTTTTCTCCGTTCCTGACTCCCTCACTATATACATGTAAGTTTGCCCGCTTGTCTCCAGTTTGAGATAAAAATACATAACGCTATCTCGAACTTTGGACGAGGTCCCTACTTTGACGTTACTATAGAATTTTGTACCTTTACCTCGGATTTGGCTTTTGCCACATTAACAGTTTTGAAAAGCGCAAGCATATCTTGTACCTTTCCTCACACATCTAACATCGCAGTAAAAGGACAGTGCAATTTAAACCAATTGTACAACCATTAATGTACTTCTGTTTTAATCCAATTGTTCTGGTAATCTTTATTGACAAATAAAACATTGCAAATAGACATGAGTAAAAACATGGCACTTCCTGGTTACTTTAAAAAGTGCTAATCAAAGTTAGATTAAAGGAACCAAAGCCTATACAAACTGTGAATTAACAAGCTTGAGGCACTTCGTTATTTTCATCAAGTGGACAGAGTGATTGCTGTTATGCCTAATGTTCATGTACATTGTACGTAATTTGTCAAGTTATTATTCATCATCACCAGCGAAAAACGTTTCAATTTGTTATCAGATGCACGCGATGTGTTCTTAATTTCTTGTGTACGCAAAGTATTGCTATGTATCTATAATACTGTTACTTGATCTGTCTAGATAGTTATGCCTTGTTATCTCGAATGGCCGGATATCTCAAAGTTATAAGACGGTCCTGCTAGGTTTGGGATAACAGGGTTGGACTGTATATTAACATGATATGAGAACGTTAAAATTCCAATCTTGGATTTTTTTTCTGACATTTCCTGCAGATTTGGCCTCTGAGCAAGTCTTGAAAAATCCCTGTAAGTTCTTTATGTACATGTTTGTAGGTCCATCTGATGAGGACTTGCTGCAGCACGTACTGAATGAGCCTCAGTTGGATTGTGGCACCTTACTTCACTATGCTACTAAGGTAATCCATTAGCATTCACCTATGGAAATTGAAAATCCTTGTCTCAATGCTTTCTAGCACTGCACATATAACCGGTAGCAGTTTAATTATTGAGTAAAAGAAAACTATTTAAAAGTGATGTTTTTCAATATTAATCTGCAGTGGATGCATGAATTACAACTGATTACAAGTGCTAGTATTCAAGGTGACCTGTTCAGATGATCTGCACTTAGTTAATGTTACACAGGCGAGTAAAGCTGACATCGTCCGTGCCCTGCTGTCTAATGGAGCGGACCCAGGTGTACAGAACAGTGAAGGCAAACTACCACTGGACCTTGCCAATGACCAGATAAAGTGGGTGTATAATGAGGAGCTGCTACAGTCAACAGCTCAGTCAAAGTAAGTCCTTCCCACATCACAGAATCCCAGAGCAGCGGTCCACAAATCAAGTTAACGTATGGGTGTTGCGATCGTCTTAGCGCTAAGATCATTTTGTGGAAAGACTCCCTGGTCTCTATGTGTCTATATCTGTGAGTCCTGGGGACTCTCTAATAAATCTTGAGGGGTTGCTGGCATTAAGGAGGAGGTCTTAGGGTGCCCACTGTACCATCAGCAAATGAAGTATCTGTGATGCCTAATGATTAACACTGATGGGCATGTCCTTGTGTGAATCGAAAATTAGTGATGGAGTAAAGGAAATTTGACAAGGACTGTCCAACAATGATCAGGATGATTGCATTGTATCAGAACAGATTTTTTTGGTTTAACATGTCTAAGGCACAAGGGGCAATGGGGTAGCCTAGTGGTTAAAGCTTTGGCTCATCACGCCGAAAACCTGGGTTCGATTCCCAACATGGGTACAATGTGTGAAGCCCATTTTCCGGTGTCCCTCGCCGTGATATGGCTGGAATATTGCTAAAAGCAGCGTAAAACCATACTCACTCCCTCACTCTGAGGCACATATCATTCTGACACCATGATCTTTTGGGTCCAATGGGACTCGCAGTAGGTATTATTTGCGTTCATTCTTATTTTTTAATGGTGTAGGTGAGTGATAAATATGGTTTTATGTCCTTTTAACAATAAATATTCCAGCAACCTCACACCAGGGGACATCAGAAATGGGCTTAACAAATTGTACTCAAGTCGGAATCTAACACGGGTCTTTAGCGTGACGAGCGAACGGTTTAACCGCTAAGCTACCCCACCACCCCTATTGGTATAGGAATGATTAGGATGCGCTAGTTCTGTTCCTCACTATTTTTTATTAGTATAATTAAAAAATAACCTTTACTCAATGAGTCTAATCTGTAGTATGTAGGATCATGTTCCATCTATTTGTCCCCGTAGTAATTTTGTGTGAACTTTTGTTGAGAATGTTTAGTAATATTTCACATTTTTTCAAAGTTTGTATAAAATACCTTGGGCATGAACAATTCTGGGCACAACACCAGATTTCAAGACATGCAAATGTCAGTGCTACTCTCAGATTACAGGGTGTTTAGAGGTTTATTTGTCATGTGTGACAAGAACGGTATCTCTACCTTAAAGGGACGTAATTCTTATTGGCAACCTTACCCTGAGAGTCCAGTGATGCCTTCAAATTACCAAGTATGTTGTTATCACACTCAAATCACCATACACCGTGTTATCACAAGACAAGGGACGTGACTCATATCATGCATTTTGTCTTTTCAAAATGGCAGCAGTATTACGAATGCTAGAAAACTTACAGACACTTTTTCTCTGTTAAGTGCAAAAAAAGTTTAAAAGTGCAAAAATGGAAAGTGTTCTACACTTATCTTTAATGTTATTGTTTGCATTAGAACATTGATCATTCGAAATGGATTGCACCTCGAACTTCAATTACAGCAGCCAGTGACCTGATTCACTAGAAAGATAATGATTAGTTTATCTGGATCCTCTTGATGTCATATCACAATAAATTGTAAACTAAATTTGCTGAAATCAAAACTTTGCAGTATTTTGTAGATATACAAGATGGTACATGATGATTATGTTCCAAGCCTATGGCAAAGCGTAATGACACAAGATAGTAGCGGTTGATATGACAAACAACCAGTGTTTTGAGAGCTTCACTGAAATATACGTACACCTTGAAATCTGGTGTTGCATACAGACCTGATGAACTGCTCATGGACTCAATTTGGATCACACATCTTTTTAAAAAAATGACCAGGTATTAGTCTTAAACATGTTAAATGTCTACAAGTCATCATCCAAGAGCCTGGTGGATTCTGCATATGTGAGCGGTGTAGGGTTGATGTCAAGTGCCATGATGTTGCTGAAATATTTCTTAAACATGCTAAAACTAGTGAATAGTACTAAACTCACCCACTCAATTAACTTGAATCATCATCAGCTATGAGCAAAGCATCATACATGTGTCATTTAGCCTGGGGAGAGTGTGTCAGCTGTTGGCTGGAGGTGTGGACGTGAACTTGAGGGACACTCCTGCCACACAGAACACGCCGCTGCACTGGGGCGTCACATACAGCACCGTCGACATGGTCCAGTGTCTTGCAAGTGAGAATCATGGCGGCTATTTTGCCTACTTCTATTGATACTGTAGAATAAAGTTATGTTTTAGTCTGTTTTCAGTCGTACAATTGGGTATCTCATACCTCTAGTCGCACGTTAAAAGGAAGCCAGAAGCTGGAATGTAAACAATAAACTTGTTTCCGTCCGGTTGCGCACGCACCTCCCGATGACATGCCACAAATTTCTCAGCGCGCCTCTGAGCTGGTCGCTCGAGAAGGACTTTCGCGATAGACTGCTAGTTTGTATTCTACTAGTACTTATCGTGTGTCTACAGTTGTTGTTCTAATACAGTAATAATACTATGTCTTACCTGTAGACTCCTGGAATGTAATCATTGGTAATCCATTGTTTGGGTTCAACACGTGTTTCACTTGATTATACACGTGGCAACATGTCGGGCATTTGTACCTCGTGTCAAGGACAACTGTCTAAAGTAGATCCTCACAAGTATTGTCCTTCCTGCATAAATAAGGACGGGTTTTCAACGTGTTCGTGGAATAAACGTTGTTAAGAATGTGAGCATTTGTCTTCTATCAACTTTAACTTGTATCTTCGTGCGTTGGCGAAGCGGGCTACTGACCAGCGCTACAGGCAGAGGAGGTCATCGGGTGGATCCTTGGACTCTGCACCCCCTACATCTGGCCCTGGGGGTGGCGCGTCGGCCACACCCAAGAAATCAGTTGAAAAAGACCCGCCTCAGTCAACTGTTTTTGACAAGACACGGGACCGTTCGCCTGCTGATGATACTACCTGCACGACTGATCTTCGTCAATCGGTTGATCGAGAGCGTCACTCAGCCACCCCCGTTACGACGGGACCGGGTGGTGACGAGGACCACGAGGGGACTACGGTCCCCAGTCGGTCCGTCTCTCGTCCTACCAACGACGATTGGAACGTCGTGCGGGTCGACAGTGAACACAGATCCCTCTCTAGAAGTCGTACCCGTTCACGGGACGACAGGTCGAGGGCCTCGTCGAGTGACAGTAAACGACACGAGGACGTTCGTCGCCTTCGAGGTCGTCGGGAGTTCGATTCGGACGATAACTACGATGGGGATCGTAGTACTTCTACAGTTAGAGATCGTAGCCCTCGTCCCCACAGGGACATGAGACGCCTTCGAAGGGAGTTTTTGGGAGATCAGCGTCGTAGAGATAATGATCGATCGTGACCCTCGTCTCACTTTCATATCGACCCGGCTTTGATAGGCCAGATGACGGCGGCGACCGAGAAGGGTTCGTCTACGTCGGAGGTCCATGGACCATCGTCCTGTACACCAGTTCCTTCATCTACGCCTACACAATCGACGTCGACGATGGATTGTGACGACAGCGTCGTAGAGATAATGATCGATCGTGACCCTCGTCTCACTTTCATATCGACCCGGCTTTGATAGGCCAGATGACGGCGGCGGTCCTCGCCTTGACGGCGTCGACCGAGAAGGGTTCGTCTACGTCGGAGGTCCATGGACCATCGTCCTGTACACCGGTTCCTTCATCTACGCCTACACAATCGATGTCGACGATGGATTGTGACGACAGCGTCGTAGAGATAATGACCGATCGACACCCACGTCTCACTTTCATATCACCCAAGCTTTGATAGCCCAGATCACGACGGCGGTACTCACCTCCAGGGCGTCGACCAAGAAGGATTCGACTACGTCAGAGGTCCATGGACCATCGACCAATACACCAGTACCTTCATCTACATCTACACAATCGACGTCGACGATGGATTGTGACGACTGCCTGGCTATGGCTTGGCTATCTCACTTTTCTGCCTGAGTTATCAACAGATGATGACAAACCGACGTGTGCTGGCTTAAAGGTTGGAGATACGCCGCAGTCTCTTCAGTCTTCTCCTCCCAATGTCTTCAGAGCCATGGTTCACGATATGGACCAGAACTTGCCTCTGCTCTGCCGGGGCAGTGTTTCAGCAAACCACCTGTTCGTTCGCGTTACCAGATCTATGGCATGCCGTTTTCGTCACCCATGAGTAGGGACTTGGATTGGGGGCTACTCTTCAAGAAACCAGCGCCCTCCAAGATTCTTGTAGTAGACAGGCATTGGGGATCCATGGACACTGCTGTTCGTCTCCAGCTACAACCGCTTGCTATGCTGTCGACAGCGAGCCGGCGGGGGAGGTAATGAGGTCCCTTTTCCCCGCCGTCACCGTCGTCGGAGCCTACTACCTTTAGACGAGCTACCGGTAGGGGGAAGACTTCATCACACGGATCATGAAGACGGTCGTAGAATGGCTCCGTCGGCAGGCGATCAGGGTCGCCTTCTACCTAGACGAGCCCTCTCCTACGGGCGACAGGCTCACTAAAATACCGGAATTGCAGAAGATTCTAAGTGCCTTCATGATTGAAGATGAGTCACATTAATTCCGCCTGCCGGCCTGGGACCTCGATATCGTTCTGCGCTACCTGTCTAGTTAGACTTACGAGCCTCTCGATCAGGTCGCCTTCGACATTGTCTCCGACTAGAGGTACTGCTCGTATTTTTTAGTTACCTTGTATACTGCGAGTTGCTCTGTAACTAAATTATGCGCCGACCACACTTCGATCGCAATTCATCTGACGTGTGCAGTTGTCATGTCGCATCGATACTTTGTTGTGTGTCGAAGAGCATTAACCATGCTATTTTTCGTTACCTTGGATACGACGAGTCGTTCTGAACCACTTTATATACCGTCCACACTTCGATCGCAATTCAACTGTCGTGTGCAGTTGTCCTGTCGCTTCGATAGTTACTTGTGGGTCGAAGAGCATTAAACATGCTGTTTTAGTTACCTTGTATACTGCGAGTTGCTCTGTAACTAAACTATACGTCGACCGTTTCGATCGCACCTCAACTGACGTGTGCAGTTGTCCTGTCGCATCGATACTTACTTGTGGGTCGAAGAGCATTAAACATGCAGTTTTAGTTACCTTGGATACGACGAGTCGTTCTGAAACTAAATTATATGCCGTCCACACTTCGATTGCAATTCAACTGTCGTGTGCAGTTGCCTTGTCGCATCGATACTTACTTGTGGGTCGACGAGCATTAAACATGCTGTTTAGTTACCTTGGATACGACGAGTCGTTCTGAAACTAAATTATATGCCGTCCACACTTCGATCGCCGTTCAACTGACGCGTGCAGTTGTCCTGTCGCATCGTTAATTAGTTGTGTGTCGATGAGCATTAACCATGCTGTGCGTTCGTGCTAAACAATTTGTCTCGTCCGTGCATCTGGTCGAATGTTCTATTGTCACTACAGGGGTGAGGAACTTGGTACATTCGACGTGCAAGAGGTCCCTTCCGGATTACTTTCCAGACCCTCCTTCCAGTGTTCCGTCGAATTCTACCCAATTGTACGACTGAAAACAGACTAAAACATGGGTTTTTCAGATTAAAAACGATGTTTTATTGGTCTGTTTTCAGTCGTACGTTCCCACCCAGCCATCCCCACTGGGAAGTAATCCAGTCCAGTCCTGCTTGATGGCTTATTCTTCGAGATTTGTGGCATGTCATCGGGAGGTGCGTGCGCAACCGGACAGAAACAAGTTTATTGTTTACATTCCAGCTTCTGGCTTCCTTTTAACGTGCGACTAGAGGTATGAAATACCCAATTGTACGACTGAAAACAGACCAATAAAACATCGTTTTTAATCTGAAAAACCCATTATTGATCAGTTATTAAAAAGATTCTCAGAGTCTAAATCAAGCCATTTGTTTTTAAGTTTTTTAAAGTCATTGCTGAACATTTGTTTGACTTTTCTGGACTTTTGTTTTTGTTAAATTAAATATTCTTTCAACTTCCCCATACACACTAGCTACAGGCAAGTTGAGCTGAATATCTCCCTTGGAATTTTGTTTTATTATAGCTCGTGGTGCTAACCCGAATTCTGTAAATGCGGAAGGCCGCTCCCCTCTCCATGAAGCAGTGAAGAGAGGTGACATATCAATCATCTCGGTGCTACTCAGCTATGGGGCTGACCCGTCCCTCACAGTCAAAGCAGGGTAAGCTGTAGCTTACACACTACCAAATGTCTTCCCAAAGACTCCTTAGTATGCATTATTTAGAAACATTAATTAAGTATTGACCAGCCATTTAATTTAAATGTGTGAATAGCCTGGCCTTAAATAAGCTGAAGTTTAATCACAATATATGACCATCATCCCCAGCTCTATTTCTAAGTACCATCTTCCCTAGGCAAGAGAGTTAACTGACTTTACAAGTCCAGTTTCCTCCTTTGCCGAACTTGGCTGCAGATCCTGGGCTCGATCGTAGCACCACAAGTGGTTATTACAAGTTATGTCTCTTCTAAGCCTCTCCTATGTACCAATCAGATTCCATCACTTGTATTTGTTTCAAACAAGACAGTGGCGCCCAGTGAAGATGATCTGATAGATAATCAAGATCTATGTTGTGATAAAACGTGTCTTACATCGCAAAGTGGATCAAATCACGCGGGCACCTTTATTAAAAACATGAAAAGGTTTGGAAAATATTTGTTGACGAGTTGGCGATGCACATGCTTTGGAAATCCTGCAATCGACTGAAATCTGCGCGACAGTTTTTGAACCGGATTTCAATTTCGTTGCACGATTTTGATTGGACTATGCATAGACTCGTTAGTCCAGTCGAAATGTAACTCCATGATACCAGCCTAGTTCGGCAAGGGTGGAAACTGGACTTTTATAGTCAGTTAATTCTCTTGCCTCAGGAAGATGCCAAGTACAGGAGGCTAAACACACACAACATAGCACTTAGTTGAAAATAAATGTGGACACATTCAGGATGATTCAGCATACAGTCTTCAAAATTCACACTAGACCGTGAGCCCGACACTACTAAATTGTGCTGAGGACAAGCAAAATCCAATGATGGTAGTCCTCGTTGACTAGTAGTATTTGAGGGCCATAATTCTGAACCAGTTCTTCAATTTTGCTACAAATTGGAACTGAATAAAACTGACAGAAAATTAAACATAGGAAGGGTTTTTGTCTTGTTCAAGCTACTACATGTACTAACTCTTAAGGACCAGTGACAAAGGTCTACACTTGAAAATATTTGCTTTCAGTGTCAGAGTTCTCTTTCTTTGTTGTCAAGGAGAAGAATATGAATGTTCTTGGTGGTTTTGCTGTGTCAGTTTATATCTGTAATTAATCATCTAATTCTTTCCAAGCGTTGACAGTTGCCCATGTGTTAGAGATGTAAGTTGCCGATAATGAGTTAAATAGCCATGTTGCACTGTGTGTTACAGCCCTGACACAGGGAAGACTGCTTTTGATTTGGCCTCAGGGCTGGAGAAAGTCGAACAGCTGATGAAGACCCCACCCAGAAAACGTACCCTGTCATCTGAGGCGGCTCAACACGAGCTCAACAACCATACAGGTAGGGACCACCATAGCTGGAAGCCTTGCACATACAGGAATATATCTAAGCTGTGTTTGAAATGTGCTGTAGGGTATTTATAATGTCAAAAGTGGGACAATTTGTGTATGTCATGTTTCATATTGATGGGATAACGCTAAAAGCAGTATGAAAAGTTCATGCTCTGTATCAGTTATAGACAATGATAGAGTTAGAAATTAATTGTTCTTTTCACAAGTCTGCAAAATTTACCTGCTCCAGTGTTGCCAATGGCCTTATGTTAAAGGTGGTAGTTCACATGGATGTGATACCACAAGTGCTTCCTGAAGTTTACTGGTGTTGAGCCTCTGGACTTATGTTAATTTCAAATTATGCTTGCCGTAAAAGGCGCTTAACGGGATCGGGTGGTCAGGCTCGCTGATTTGGTTGATGCACATCACCCTATCCTAATTGCATGTATCGATGCTCATGATGTCAATCACTGGATTATTTACAGACCGCTGTCATATAGCTGGAATACATGTATTGCTGAGTGCGGCGTTAAACAACGAACAAACAAACAACTATTCAAATTAAGTTAAAAGGACTCCCAGTATATATTGTATGACTATAGTTGATGTCATACCATGACATTGTGTTCTTAACAGAGCTGCAGATAAGCTGCGTATTTGCGTAAAATACCCCCCCAAAATATTCAAAACCCAATTACTTTCAATTAACTTGCGTACAGAAACGCATGCATTAAATGAAAAACTCAAATGATAAAAACAGCATGTGTAAATACCCAATGAAACTCTTTCAGCATGCGTACAATGGAGCTAATTTCCGAAACACAATTACGAGCTAATTTACTTTACGGTCAAGCCTTTTGTTAAAACCCTCATATGCATCTAAAACATTATTTTATTTTTCTTGAAATATCAAAATGTTAGCTCATTTTGGGGAAAAACCAATAGATTGATGAATAGATGAGTGACAAAATATTGGTTACCCAATGAAAAATGTAATAACCCAATTAAAATAGAAACCTTCGGGTAAAAACTCAATTGCTCAAAAGGTTATCTGGAGCTCTGTCTTAAACTGCCTTTGATTACTATATATAAGTGTTTCAGACTGGCTGTAGCTGATGTGATTCCTTCCTGTGTTTTCCAGAGAAGAGTCCGCTGTCCAGATTAGACAGTTCTGTGTCAGTGGAGAGTGGTGTGGGTGCTGGAGACGCGGGTATGGTCAACGGCACTGCAGCCAATGGAGTGGAGTCCACCGGTCCACAGCTTGCTTCCCCATCATTTAAGGTAGACAAGAGCTCACGAAGTTGTTTACTGAACCATTATGATGACATCACGCTATTGTTGTTGCAGTTGATTCTGAGCTAAGAATTCGTTGCACAATTATGGGTCATTATGCAAACTGAAATTCTCTATCAACCATGACATGGTTTAAGTCAGAGAAATCACCATAATCTCTTGTTTCCAGAATCTACAGATTCCTATCATTTCTCCATTACAAATCAAGTACAATATGGTAATGCAAAAGTGTATTGCAGAAAATACATTTGTTCTATGGTTTGTTAGCCATTGACCAATTTGTTTTTTTGATGAGCTTTGTGTTGCATTCTATTGATTGTGTCAGTTCACTTTTATGTACATTCTTACTAATTCTGGCACCAGCAGCATATATGTACTAAAGTGTATGTTATGCATTTTTGGCTTGGTTCCTGTTCCCGTTTGTGTTGGCGTTCCCATCCTATTTCGAACAAAACTTGGCCTATGCATTGATCATCAGCATAACAGGTGCCTTTTGCTATTTGTTTCAAGTTTTGTTTAATTGAATTTTTTATGTTTCCATGGAAACAGTTTTGACCTTGTCTCAAACGAGGGAAGTGTTCGTTGCGGACCATAACTTGAAAACCGTTCAACACATTTAATCAAAACTTGGTATATGCTTTGCTCATCAGCTTAACTGGTGCCTTTTGCTATTTTGAAATTTTGTCTAAATTGTATAGGTTATGTTTCCACGGAAATAATTTTGACTTAGTCTCAAACAACTCTAGGCGTCATTAGAGAGCCATAACTCTCAAACTAATGACTATTTTTGCATGAAGTATACATGTGCAATGCTCAACTATTGCCTTTTCATATTTTTCAATTTTTAGTTTCTTGTGTTTCCATGGAAACAATTTGGAAATTCTTAAGAGTCTTTCCACCCAGCATGAAGCTACTGATTGTTGATTATGGGTACATCTACTTGCACAATAGAATCCATTATCTAAACTGCTGTTACAGTTCAATAGTCTTATCTGTCCTAGAGAGTCAACATGGCAATGACTGTTATGCTGCTTCATTGGGGGGGGCACAGGTGGCCCAGTCGTCTAAGGCGCCGCGATTTGCTGTGCAGAGTTGCGTCCCTTGGACACGCCAGAAACCTATGATTGTGGGTTCGAATCCCGGTTCGCCCCAATTATGTTTCTAGGTTTGTCAGCACCATACCCGTGCTCGTGGGTTTCACCGAAGTGGTAAACGTCTGAGACCTGCATCACTTCGGGCTTTCCTCCCACATTAAGCTGACACGCCGTGATATAACTGGAATAATGTGAAAAGCGGCGTTAAACCCTATATATATATATAAATGCTTCATTGGTGCTTAAATCAGAATCTGTACTAGTATTTGTTTGCTATTATTGTTTTTTAATTTGCAACAAATTTATAGTAACAACGTGATCTAATGTATAAAAAAATGGAGGGGGGAAGACCTCTGTTTTTATGAGTAAACACACATTCTAGTTAGATATTTTTTTTCATGTGTAGAGAATGTTGGGCATGATAAAAATGCAGTGCCTTGTTGAAGCTATCATTGATGTTCAGCCCTCTCATGTACAACACTTGAACATGTTGAAGCCAATTCCTGTGATTTATCCTCCCCATGAGGATATTGGTTAGAATTGTCCCCAGCAATCTATGCTGGCCCTAAAAGGCAACTTAAAGGATTAGGTGGTCAGACTCGACTGATTGATGGCATGTCATCATACCCCAACAGTGTGGATCTTTGTTCACAATATCAATCACTGGATTATCTGGTCTAGTTTATTTACAGACCGCCATCATTTGGCTGGAATATTGCAGAGTTCTGTGTTAAGCAAACAAAATACTTGCTCTTTCAGCCGAAGCCCCATGTGTATGATGACCTGATGATGTCGCCGCTCCGAGCTGTGGTGACGGAGGAGAAGCTGAACCTGCTGTGGCCACAACCACAAAGTATTGTCCAGGGCGGCGGTCAGCCGTTTGTTATACAAGACCATCTCCCAGTCATTGTAGCTGGAGGCCCTATCTTCAGTAAGTCTAAAAAACTTTTCTGTTACCCTTCTGAAACCTTTACTTTTTCCCACTACCAAACAGGAATGGCCATTTCCACAATGTGATCTTAGTGCTAAGAGAATCTTTACTCCCATACTTTAGAATAGACTTACAACATTTGTGGAACAAAGATCCCTTTGGCCCTTAGGTTAATAAAGAAATGTTCCTTAAGTGAATGAAAAAATGGAAACGACTTCCATGTTTGTTATTTGACTTAAAAATGTTAAATCACATCATGAAAATCCTTTATTCCTCGAAAAGGTCTGAATTGTCCAAACACTGAATGAGTTAATATGAGAAATGAACATATTCATCCACAGTCAGGGTGACCTCTTGAAAATGTCCTCCTTTGTTTTTAACTATAGAAAACCCATTGTCATTCTGTGTAAGAATACAGGTCCCCAGCAAGCTATGCTTGTCATAAGAGACGAATAAATGGATGGGGTGGTGAGGCTTGGTAACTTGGTTGAATGCTTGTCATCTATCCCAATTGCCTGGACCAATGACCATGATGACGTCGATAACTGAATTGTCTGATCCAGACTCGAATATTCACAGCCGTCATAAGTGGAATATTGCCGAGTGCAGCGTTAAATAACAAACAAACAATTCTGACTATGGAACATTGCTTTTCGTGTAATTCACTCACCGATGTGTACAGTTAATATCTTCAGTATCCCTGTGTACTGAGGATCATAGTCATTTTGATGTCAGTCTTGGGGAGAAAACATGTCACAAAGTGTAGGCATGATGCAGTCATTCATGAAAGGTATTGCATACCAAACATTTACTGTGACAGGTCACACAAGAATCATGGGAGTGTGGGAATCTCAGAAAGGCCACTTTGAGGCAGTTGGTGTGAAGTTAGGTTTGGAGATGTTGTCCCCCCTGAATGTGTGTGACATGCCCCATGTGCTGTGTCATGTCAACCAAAGGCTCTGCCAGAACAAGGGCTCGTACAAGATCACCATCTCCCCCAAACAGGTAGGCCGGAGGTGTGGTGTGAGAGGATGTCAGTCAGGTGTTAGTCAGGTGTTAACTTACTGGGCAGTTGTTGATGTTCATTATTATTGTAGTTGGGATGTCGGGAAAACTGGGATACATGTTTCAAGTAGTTCTGAAGTAAAGATGCCAATCAAATTGGTAAAGAATATTGCCTGGTGCCTACATACTTTTCATTAATTGGCTTGGCCAAGTCTTTTCAGCAATTACTACTTCTCAGACTCATAAGAATACCCATGGGGAACTACTGCCATACAATATCAGCCATTCATTAGACATTCCAGGATGTCCTTTTGCTCATTTTTCAAATTTTGAATCAATATTTTTTAAAGCATAGTCTGGAATGGAAGTCGCTAGTATGAAACAAGCACTGTAAAACTCAAGTAAAACTGATTGGCCACGGTCAACTTCTTGTTAGTTATTTAATCGGTCAAAGTTCACAAGAGGTCGTTCTGATGTGACCTGTAATGGGATGTCCTCAGATCTAAGATCTGATTTTAATGAGATTGAACCAAAGATTGTAACATGTGTTTGTTGTGAATAATACAGTGTTTAATTGCCATTATTGTTGTTAACAGTTGAAGATTGTGTGTGGGAGCCTGGAGAGCCTCAACTATGCACTGTGTACAGTACTCCAGCTGTTGGAGCTCTACAGGACCGCAGAGGGAATCTCCGTCCCAACGTTGCTGGTACTGATACCACATCTGTCACATCAGTAGGACCCTGAGGGATGCTGGGGTGGAATTGCTCCCAGCATCCTATGCTGGAGACTTAGTAGATCGGGTGGTCAGACTCGGTGACTTGGTTGATGGCGTGTCACCTCGTACCCCAACAGCTTGGATTGTTGCTCACAACATCGACCACTAGATTGTCTGGACCAGATTTGATTATTTACAAACAGACGTCATATAGCTGGAATTATGCTGAGTGAGGCATTAAACAAAGAAACAAAGAAGGCATCTGTAGGCCAATTCATTTTGTTGTGATTTTCTTTCATCTAAATGACTATTACTCATGCCATGTCATCATTTTCTTAGCAGTTTTATCTAGAGAATAGGAATAGTTTATCTTTTGTATTAATAGTATTACTTTTTCTGACGATCGCATTGTTTTGATGAATCTAAATGCAAACACATGTACCTGCAGATTGATGATTGGCCAACGCTGCATTATCGAGGTGTATTGTTGGATGTGTCACAAGGACGAGTACCCAATATGGTAAGTACACTCAGCAGTTTGGATGATCGGATGTTTCTAGCATTATAACCACGCAGTGGTGATTCGGGGTTAGAATTGGACCACAGCAATCTATGCTAGCCGTAAGAGGCAATTAATCATTTGGGTGTTCATGTCAGTGCATTGATTGATGGCACGTCATTGTACGTAGACGGCATGGATGTTTGCTCACATTATCAATCACTGGATCACTTGATTACTCACAGGCCGCTGCCACATAGCTGAAATATTGCCGAGTGAGGCATTAAACAACAAACAAACAACCTGTATTACCATCGTTATTTCTTTGACATTTTATGGCTTTCTTGATCATTTTTACAGGAAACTCTCCAAGAACTACTGAACACATTGTTTCTACTGAAGATAAATCAAGTAAGTTTTTCCTCACAATGCATTTTGGGTTATTTTATCCTTGATCAGAAAAGAAGCTGGAAATGAAATTGTCCATGATCTGAACATTGTCCTGTTCATCACTTGCTTGTTTTGATGTCAGCTATTACATTTTCAGATTTATCTGTATTCACGATTTAGAAGCAAAAACCCAACAGAGTGGCAGTTGTGTTACTCCAGAAGGTAGGGCATTCTGGTGCAGCAGATCATCATTTAACTCTCACAGACCTTTCCCCCCGTTGAAGATCTGGGGTAGAAAAGGTCTTCAGCAACCCGGGGCGGTCGGGTAGCCTAGTGGTTAAAGCGTTCGCTCGTCACGCTGAAGACCCGGGTTCGATTCCCGATATGGGTACGATGTGTGAAGCCCATTTCTGGTGTCCCTGCCGTGATATTGCTGGAATATTGCTAAAAGCGGCATAAAACCATACTCACTCACTCACTCTTCAGCAACCCATGCTTGCACTGAAAGGCGACTTTGCTTGTCGTAAGAGGCGACTAACGGGATTGGGAGGTCAGACTCGCTGACTTGGTTGATACATGTCATCGTATCCCAGTTGCATGGATCGATGCTCATGATGTCAATCAATGGATTGTCAGGTCCAGATTATTTACAGACTGACATCATATAGTTGGAGTATTGCCGAGTGTGGCGTTAAACAACAAACAAATAAAACAAACACAAACCTTTCATCACTATATGGTTGAAATACTGCCAATGTTACATGAACTTTAACTCACTCTAACAAACTATTGGAGTGGGTGGTCCAAATGCCTCCCCAGTATGAAAGTATGTGGATATCTGGGCAGAATAGGTCGGCAGTTTTTAATTCTTGCTGTCTTATCCTAGTTACAATGTGTGACTTGGCTAATTTTGTGTCATCGGCCCTGATGGCATGGATGGTATGCCTGGTCCAGGTCTCCATTCCTCAAAGCAATCATAGTGCTACGACGATTGTATGTCTAGGTTAAAGTATGGGAGTTAAGATCACCTTAGCACTAAGATCACTTTAGTGACCATGGTGATGCTGGGATGTGTTCAGGTGAATTGTAATTAGAAGCTGGAAACTTTGTTCAAGCGTGTTTTCACAGACAGATCGAATGCTTGGTGTGAGATAGGATCAGTATATAAATATACAATTTATGCCCTCAAAAACAACTAAAAGGGATATTAAATATATTGATTATTAAGTATCGCAAATTTGGGGATGCAATACCCACTATCTATAATAGACGGAAGTTGTAAGCGGTCATACATGCAAGCCATTGCACCCGAAGCTAAATGTGCAATAGTTTATTACTTAACAGACAGTAGGGTAAGCCAGGTATGGAAAGCCATATGGATGGTCCCGGATGGAGCATTGTTAAAGTGACATAAAGTGCAAAGTAGTATAGTACAAGATATCGGTTATGATATACAAAGTAAGAGTATAAAGGTCTTTTGGGTGGCAAGTTAATAAGATTAAGCTTAGCTGCTAGCCAATAACAAATTATGTAATGGAGGAGAAAGGGGATGGTGGTGGGTATGATTTAGCTGATAACTTGTCAGGAAAGATGACTGACTAATGGGCTGAGAAATAGTGCACTTTAGAAAAAAGGAAAGATATTACTATGCATGGGCAATTTAGTGAGTAATCTGTTAAAATGCTTTACACAAGGTCGTTCGCTTGTTGTCTTCGCCACATAAACAAAATTTGTTTGTGACAAACAAAGAACTTTTTGATGTAAAATTTACAATTATTGTTTGTGCAGTGATCTGGTGCATCTGGACTTGCTGTGTTCGGCCCGTGGCTTGCAGCTGGTGCCGGTCCTCGAGGTCGGTCCCAAGGTCCAGTTTGAAGATCTCCCTCTCCTCTACACTGCATTCCAGGACTTTGTGACATGCTGCTCACACTCAGAGTAAGAATAGTCTAACAGACATGACAGAGCCAATGTATTTCTTTATGACATAATCTCTGACTACTCTCCTGACAGCTTAGCATCATTGCGTAGAATGGTCACTAACTAAAGGGGACACAATTACAGCCAAACTGTTTCCACTCAGACATTCAATGTCATCTTATCTGTAGAGCAAATGATGTGAATGAGTACCTGGTCTGGTGCTATGTGGCACATGGTCTGGTGCTTTATGGCACATGGTCTGGTGCTTTATGGCACATGGTCTGGTGCTTTGGCCACATGGTCTGGTGCTACGTGGCACATGGTCTGGTGCTATGTGGCACATGGTCTAGTGCTTTATGGCACATGGTCTGGTGCTACATGGCACATGGTCTGGTGCTACGTGGCACATGGTCTGGTGCTATGTGGCACATGGTCTGGTGCTTTATGGCACATGGTTTGGTGCTATGTGGCACATGGTTTGGTGCTACATGGCACATGGTTTGGTGCTACATGGCACATGGTCTGGTGCTTTATGGCACATGGTCTGGTGCTATGTGGCACATGGTCTGGTGCTTTATAGCACATGGTCTGGTGCTTTATGGCACATGGTCTAGTGCTATGTGGCACATGGTCTAGTGCTTTATGGCACCTGGTTTGGTGTTTTGTTGCACTTGCTTTCATACATATGGCAGTGGAGGCGCAGTTGTCCAATTTGTCTTAGTGTGGCGCAAGTCACTGTGCGGAGTTGCATCACTTTGGCATGCAAGTAATCTTTGATCGTGGGTTCTACCCCCAGATGCACCATGATTATGTTTCTTGGTTTGTCAGCGCCATACAAACATTTTAGGACCTTCATCACATCAGGCTTTCCTTCCCAAATATCAAGCTGATATCGCCATGATGTAACTGAAATACTGTTAACCAGCTTGACTGGTACTTGGTTATATTCGGTATGGTACCTGGTTTTTGTACTACGCTGTACTTCGTTTAGTACTAATTACATTAAGTAATACGTTACCACTGTTATACCGAGGCTGTTGTCTCCCACAACTGCTGCTATAGCGAAATCTACCACAGAGATCTCAATTACCTCATGCAGCACGTGCGTAGCCACCTAGCTGCCATGTGACACCCTTCACTCTTGTCTCCTTCGTCTGCTTAGCAAGACGTGTTTTCTCCTGCTGAAGCGTTCCTTGAAGATTTGGTGATATTTATTATAGTTTATTATCTAATAAACTGTGCTTTTATGGGGCGTTGCGGTAGCTACGCTTGGTTATAATTTTCCCGCCAAACGGAAAATTTTTCCCGCCCTTTTTTCTATATACTTGCGGGGTTCGCGTATGCACGTTGTGTTTTACGTTTCCCCTGTTCTTGTATGTTTTGGGGGTTAACATAACTTATTTCTTTAATAAAAGTTATATGTGTATGTTATATGTTCACATTGCTCGTTTATTTTCTTGTGAAAATGTTCGTTTGTGAATCATTGTGGTGCGTGCGTTGTAACCATGTTTTGTTCTTTGTTTATAGCAAACAATCAATGTCTGACATGGATATGTCCCCAGTATCCACCCCCTCTACCCCTGCTCCTCGGAGTTATGGGGTGTGCAGAAAGTTTTTGTCGTCCCGGGATCCCCACGTTCGTTGCCCGCGGTGCAGGGTTCCTTGCGGGGACACCCGGTGCATCCTGTGCGAAGGTCTGGGGCCTGCGGATTTTGAGCGGTACCGGCTGTACGTACAGTCCGTCTCCACCCCTGTGGTGGCCGGTTCGTCCGGTCGGGGTCCCCGTGCGGGTACCACCTCCTCGGCTGCGGCGGATCCCCTTGCGGCCCTCGGGCTGTCTGGGGATTCCGTCGCCGCATTGTTGTCGAAACTTGTGGATTCCATGCTGGCGGCCTTATCGCAAGATAGGCCGCTGGCTGTTCCGTCCCCGGCCTCTTCGGTGGCCGCGGGGTCCACCGGTAAAGCGGCGGATCTCTTGGCGGCCCGTGTGCTGTCCGGGGATTCCGTCGCTGCATTACTTGCATAACTTGTGGACTCCAAGCTGGCGGCCTTATCTCAGGATAGGCCGCTGGCTGTTCCGTCCCCGGCCACTTCGGTGGCCGCGGGGTCGGACGCGGGGTCCACCGGTACGGCGGCGGCTCCCGTGGTCACCGGTCCTTCCCCCGAACCGTTGCTCCCGCTATCGGTTTAGGACCGCGTGGCCATGGTTTATGACCTCTTTGAGGACATGCCCCGGCCGGTACCGCGGGGAATCCACGACTGTGGGTTCCTCCGAGGTATACGATGAGTCTTCCGACTCGGCTTTCCCCGTATCAACCTTGCTGCGCGGTTTCAAGCCTTCCTTGGAGAACGCCTTCGCGGCGGCCTCCGGTCGGGGTCTCCCGTTGCCTCCGACGTCGTGGAGAAAGGGTTTATTCCCGGTACATGACCTTGCCTTTCCCGAGGCTGGTCCTACCGCGGAGGCCCATGTTGAGCGGTTGGGTGTCCGTGCCCCACCGGCTGCTACGGTAACGCAAGCTACCTTGCACCAGCTGGACGCCCTCGCTCGGCACTCCATGTCTCACGGAGACACTTACTTGGCTGCAGCGGCCCGTCTGGTCGAAGGTTCTCCCACGGACCGTGACCAGCGCATTTACAACTGCCTGCTCAGTTTAAATGCTTGCCTGGAGTACGTTGCCGAGGACTCTCGGCACACACTTGCTCTTGTTGGGTCCCTGCATAGGCGCCTGGGTGCCGCTCCTAACCGGAGCGCGCCCCAGGCTGCTGCGGCCGGTAGGTCTAAGGGGTCGGGTTCTTCTTCCTCTGGGAAGTAGCCCCGCCCTGAGGGCTCCGGTATGGGCAATCAGCTGCCCTTTCGCGGGAAAACGGGGAACTGGGGGAAGCCCAAATCGTCGACGGACGGCAAGGGCCCCTCCAGGTGACTCTCATTGGAGGGGTTCGTATGCCGACAGCGCCAACTTCGGTTGGCCCTTAGGCGAACCCGAGTCACTTGGCCCTGGACAGTTGCGCCTGTCGCAACCTGTCAGGGCCCCCTCTCCTTCCCCAGTGGGAGCCAGACTCCAGACTTACTGGGAGAATTGGGAACAAGTGTTCGACGACCCGTGGGTGGTCAACACGATTCGGTACGGCTATCGGCTTGATCTCAAAGCGAATCCGCCGCTCACCGTTGCCCCGTTGGCAGGTTTCGATTCGGAAACCGATCTTCCCATCCTCGCCGATGCCATCGGCAGGTTGGTGGAGAAGGGGCAGTACGGGAGTTAGCTCTACCAGAAATAACACCGGGGTTTTACTCCAGGATATTTCTCGTTCCCAAGTAGGACAGTGCCGAACTCAGAATGATTCACACGTCCGCTCCCTGGCTGTTCACCCGGTTAACCACCCCCATAGTGGGGTTCCTCCACAGGAGGGGTGTCCGGTACTTCGCGTACCTGGACGACTCGCTAGTAGCAAATCGAATGACGGACACCCTGTCACGCCATCTCGATTTCGCACGTCGGCTCTTGGAGCAATTTGGGTGGATTATCAATCTCCCCAAGAGCGAGTTAACCCCTTCTCAGAACTTGCTGTTCATCGGAGGTCGGTTCAACACGGTGTCCCATCGCCTCTTTGTCCCCCCAGACCGGTGGCACAAAATTCAGGCGATGATTGCCAAAGTCTTAGCGGTGCAACAGACTGTTCCCTTTTGGGAACAGCTGTTAGGGCTACTTGTATCAGCCCAGGACTGCACCGCACGGGGTCGTCTCCAACTCCGCCCGCTGCAACGGTTTTTAATCCAGTTGTTAGCAACGGAGGTGAACAGTGCGACCGTCGCCCTCCCGGATCGGCTCCGACCGCATCTGGAGTGGTGGACGGTCCCTTACATTGTCTTATCAGGAGTCTCTATGCGGCCCTACCGGGCCACGTTGACCCTGTATACAGACGCCTCTCTAGTGGGCTGGGGCGCCCATCTAAAGGGGGAGGTGAGCTCGGGGCTGTGGTGCTTAGACGAACTAGGTCTTCACATCACTTGTCTCGAGTTCAAGGCAGTGATCAACGCAGTCAATCACTGGAAGCATCGTCTCGTCGACGCCCGGCTCATGCTGGCGACCGACAACACGACGGTAGTGTCCTATGTGAACAAACTGGGGGGAACCCACAGTCACTCGCTACTCGATCTCACGTTCGAGTTTTACGCTCTGGTGGACAGTGTCCCGTGCCAGATACGCGCCCGTCACATCCCAGGTGTGCGGAACGTACTGGCCGATGCTCTATCGAGGCCTCAGGATCCGAGCCCCACAGAGTGGATGCTGAACCCAGTAGTGTTTCAGTGGCTGTGCGAACGTTTGGGTCGTCCGATGGTCGACCTGTTCGCAACGCGGTTCAACAATCAACTCCCGTTGTTTGTATCACCAGTCCCGGTCCCGAGGGCCATCGATCACGATGCTCTCGCGTTAGACTGGACGGGCTTGGTCGCTTATGCTTACCCGCTGACAGCGTTGATACCACACATTCTAAGCCGGCTCCGAGGAGTTCGCTGTCGAATGTTACTGATCGCGCCCATGTGGCCGAACAGATCGTGGTACCCCGACTTGCTGACCCAGGTCACGCAGTCGCCACTTCCACTGCCTGTGAGACCGGATCTCTTGATCCACCCTCACACCCGTCAGCTTCATCCAAACGCAGGGCAGTTCAATCTGCACGCGTGGATGTTGTCACCGAGCGTCTGAGGAGTAAAGTTTTTTCTCGCCGGGCGTCTCGGGCATACGTTAGTATGCATCGTGATTCTACCCAGAAGGTGTATAATGCACGTTGGGTTATTTTCACGAAGTGGTGTTGTAAACATCACATTCATTCGCCAGATAAGGTATCTGTGCAGGATATTGCTCGTTTCATGTCTCACTTGCGAGAGACCCGGAAACTCTCCGGGGGTTCCATTGCCAACTATGTCTCGTCCGTTGCTACGGTACGGGACGTTGCTATGGGTACCAGTCTCTCCAAAGAGCCGGTGATACGGGGTATTATCAAGGGTTTCAAACAGCACGATCTTAAGAAGGGCCGCCTTCGGGCACCGGCCTGGGATCTTTCCCTAGTGTTGCAATCACTTACGGAAGCTCCGTATGAACCCTTGCATAGTGCTTCGTTCCGGCATGTGACTTGGAAAACAGCATTTCTCCTCTCCTTTGCCACGGCGGCACGTGTATCCGAAATTCATGCACTCGATGTCGCCAAGGTACGATTCGATAGGGGTGACGAAGGAGCGGTCCGCCTGGGCCTGCTCATGGGCTTCGTCGCCAAGAATCAGAGAGTCGGGCAAACGGAGAGAGAATTCACTGTAAGATCACTCAAAGAAATCTTACATCCTGCTGATACTGAGGACAGAGCGCTGTGTCCGGTTAGGGCCCTTAAGTATTATCTTAAGGCTTCGAATGAACGTAGACAAGGGCGTGACCGTCTGTTCATATCGTGTAACCCTAATCGCACGGTTGACATACCTCGCAACTCGATTGCGTTGTGGCTTCGTTCTGTCATCAATCTGGCGTACCGGTCTCGGGGGTTACCGGTAGCGGGGTCAAACCCGCACGAGATCAGGGCGCTAGCGGCAACATTTGCCCTACACTCGAATATCTCTGTTCGCAGAATATTACGAGGTTGTTACTGGCGTTCTGACTCGGTTTTTGCCAATCATTACCTCAAACAGGTCGCTGATGCCGTCGTGGAGAGTGTGCACCGTCTTGGCCCGCGGATCGCGGCGCAAGCGGGCACCTAAGGGGTGTGCCCAGCGCAATTCCGAACTCCTCAGGCGTCTGACCTTGCACGGTGGTCAATCTGGGTCTACTCCAATGTTCCCACTGCCGTGGGTACAGGAGTTGGGGTCCCGCAAACCAGCGCACTCACACCACAGGTGAGGGCGGCTTTTTGTGTGCTTTGTCCTTATTTGTATTTTGACAATTATGTCTTTAATTGTCTGTCGTGTATCCCAACCTTGTGATGCATGCTTACAAATACTGGAATTAGGTCACGCGCCTAATGCATACTTTAAGTAGGCTTGCTCTGGGATATACGGTCTGAATGAAATTAATTTCCCTCTTTTCGACTGTTTAACCTGATCTAAGATTAAGCTCACGCGGATACAGTGTTCTCATCCGCTGCGGCGATGAAATACCTATCCAGTGGGGCCGTTTGGAGTCACCAATCGTTTTGGCAATGACGATTGAGCCTTACGGTATGCGCTTGACAGTGCTTTGGTATTCCTATAGGGTAACGCCTAGCTAGGTGCATGCGCATCGAGTGCTTCCGCCTTGGTGTTTACTTCCGCTGGTCGGAAGGAACGCTAGCAGTCAGGATTCGGGTTGTAGGTGCTCCCCACCGCCTACTGTGGTAGTCAGCCTCGGTATAACAGTGGTAACGTATTACTTAATGTAATTTGTAGAATTTTCCTATTCGGAATATTCTATAAGTAATACGTTACCACTGGGCTGCTGCCCGCCTGTCCGTCCCCCGAGCACTTGCTCTCGCAGGAGACAAGAGTGAAGGGTGTCACATGGCAGCTAGGTGGCTACGCACGTGCTGCATGAGGTAATTGAGATCTCTGTGGTAGATTTCGCTATAGCAGCAGTTGTGGGAGACAACAGCCTCGGTATAACAGTGGTAACGTATTACTTATAGAATATTCCGAATAGGAAAATTCTACAATATTGGAACTAGTTTAGTACTCAACTACTGAACATATGTAATCTGTTGCACATGTTATAGGTCATTGTCTCCTGTCAGTGTGTTCAAGATTCTTTTTCAGTGTTATTCTGTGAACTGAGGGGAATGATGTGTAAGTCACTCCTTCCCCAGAACAAAACAGATAGAGCAACTTGAGGCATTCATGGCATCAGATTTTAGCTATCTTGGTGTGCGATTTGTCTCAAACAATATTTAATCTGAAATGTAACAAATTTTACAACTAACACTACCCGACCTATACCATGTCCTAAACCATACATGTCAAGGATGTGGTGCTGTGTGTGTACAGGTTTGTCAGTGCTGGCCCTCGACTGAGCAGTTTCCTTCTGGATGTGACAGATGATTACCTGAACGTGAATGACGCAAGTCGGTACCTGCCCGTGAGTCGGGACCAGACCCTGCAGCTGTGTGGCTATCCCCTCCATGGCCTCAGCACATCCCTGTTGCAGCAGCTGCCACCACATATTGTCTTTAACGAGTTTGGTGTCAAGGTGAGCTCCCCTTCCTACTTCCTTGGTGACCCGTGAAGATCTGGGGTAGAATAGGTCTTCAGCAACCCATGCTTGCCGTAAGAGGTGACTATGCTTGTCGTAAGAGGCGACTAACAGGATTGGTTGGTCAGGCTCGCTGACTTGGTTGATGCATGTCATCGTATCCCAACTGCGTGGATTGATGCCTATTGTGTCAGCGTTAAACAACAAACAAAACCTCCTTTGGTGTTTGCTCTTAATAGTAATAGCTCAACTACTGCGCAATGCCCATTAAAATCACATCTTTTTCTATGTTACGGTTCGCAGATTGCTAACCTACCAGTTTCAACCACATTAGTGTGGTGTCCCCTAGCTTTCTGAACTTTCATCTTTAATGAAAAACAAACATTTATGTATCTCATTACTTGAACTGTTTGATTAACATCTTTTGAAGTTGGTAAGTAACATTAAAGACAAGATATTAGATGGATGACAACTTCCTTATAAAAGAAAGAAAGAAGTTGTCATCCATAAAATATTTCCTCTTTACTGATGTCTCATTACTTACCATACCACAAACAAAGTTTATCGTAACACAGATATGCTACATGCATGTGTAAGGCGACATTTGTTATATTTCTTGGTTTATGGATGCACCGCTCTTTCAAAGTCCAAATGTTAAAAAAAAACAAAAAACGAAAATTACCCTTTTTTATTACCGCTGATCTTCTCATAAAAAAGTTCAAACAAAAAAGATTTCATTTCCTCGCTGGGATCCTTCTCTAATACCATCAAAGCTTATCAACGCAAACCGCAGTGGTGACCAGTTTAACTCTGATGCTTTTTTTTTTAATTGGCCAACCTAACTTTTGAAATGAGTTTGAAATCCGTAATCCAAGAAATAGAAAAAATGTCGCCTAATGCTTAACATGATTCTGGGGTTCATTCCACAAAGTGATTGTAGCGTTAAGGTGATTCTAACTGCCATACTCTAACATAGTTTTGGGACTGCCGAAGCTCTACAATCGCTTTGTGAAACGGGGCCTGATACTTATGCAGGGTGTGCACAGGGCTGGATAAGGCCTTGAATTTTAGAGTTTGTCTTGAAAAGGCCTTAAATCAGCATTTGCCTTGTAAATGCCTTGAAAGTAAACATGACTTGAAATGACCTTAAATTATCATGATTATTCCCTAACTACGCATTAATCTTTTTTACTATTTAGATATATATGTGAATTACAAACATGCTTGTGAATGTCTACGAATGTATGCAATAAATGTTGCATAACAACAAGTAATTTAATCTTCATGGCTGACTTTGCTTACCTCATTTGCATGATCATTTCTTGAATTAACCATGTTAATGGTGTTCTACCAAATACATGTGACTGCAATCTGGGATGAGTTACTTTCCTTTGTAATGTCTGTATTAAATCACAGCACTGAATGTTTGCATCTTGTTTGTGTTATATATTTGCCTTGAATTTAACTAAAAGTGCCTTGAAACGTTGGTGAGGACAAATCTGCACCAACCCTGTAATTGCTCAGACAGATCCCATGCTGGATCACTGATTAACATGATTAATGGAACTTTCTATTCGGTATTTGTGTTACAAGTGTTGCTTCCTCTTCAGGCAGACCATGACTTCCGCAACTTCTGTGGCCCATTGGCTGATCTGGGGTAAGAAGTTCTCATATAAGCAAATTAACAATAATCTGAATTTGTCAATTTATGCGTCTTGAATGTTGAATGTTGTGGTTCTCTTTTATTGCATGCATGCGCTTCTAAGATCAAAGGATGTATAGTGTGAAAAGTTAACTAGTTGAACAATCGTATTTCCGGGACTTGCCGCGGATGTTTTCAAACAGATTATTAGAACTCCATTCAGCGATAAACGGTTGATTATGCAATGAAAAGCGTTATGTGCAAATGAACAACGAACAACAATACAATTATTTCTGTGAAAACTCTCAGTAATAAAAGTGTACATAAATTTTGGGAGCCATGCGTTACCGCGCGTAGTAACCGAGGTAGCGCTTTATCGAAGAGCGCAATAGCGAGGGATCACTGTATTAACATAACTAAAGAGCTGAAGTAACGTGTGTCCGTGTGTCTTCCAGGATCAGCTTCATGACCTGCCCTGGCACTGCAGCGTGGAACAGGTGAGTTGGATGAGTGTGTTGTGGCCCATCCCGTGACATGTCGTTACTCATCTTCCCGAGGCAAGTGAGTTAACTGACTATAAAAGTCAATTTTCCACCCTTGCCGAACTAGGATGGTATTATGGAGTAACATTTTGGCTGGACTAATGAGTCTATGCATAATCCAATCAAAATCGCACAATGAAATCGAAATCCATTTCGGAAACTGCCATGCAGATTTCGGTCTCATTGTCAACAGACATTTTCTAAATCTTTTCATGTTTTTTTATCAAGGTGCTCATGTGATTTGATGCACTTCTTTTATCACAACATAGATCTTGATACCGATCAGATCGACTTGACCAGACGCCGCCATTTTGATTAAAGCAAATGCAAGTGATAAGAGAGGTGGAATCTGATTGGTCCATAGGAGAGGCATAGAAGGCACATAACTCATAATAGCCACAGGCGGTGCTTCAATCGAGCCCAGGAGTACCAGCCTAGTTTGGCAAGGGTGGAAACTGGACTTTTATAGTCAGTTAACTCTCTTGCCTTGGGAAGACATAGAGAATCTCACTTAGGTGTCTATTGATATCAAATATATCATAATGAGTCGAAGCTGGTTGTGGAGTTATCGCCGAGTACTGATAAGTTTGATATCAAGAGACTCAAGGGTAAGATTCTATTTCTCATCTAAAATCATTCTTCCCCAAATATGTGTAATATCTTTTATGACCATCCCAGATTCTCCCATCAACAATTTATCCAACCATTCAGCAGATGAATTGTACCTGTACTGATCGGTGTCAACTTACATGTTACTGGATGTCAGTAGTTGGTACCATGTAATGACTGTGTGTCTCTATGTGCAGCCTGGCAGGATGTCCTGAGGCAGCTCTATGTAACATCTACAACGCCATGAAGTGTGCAACATCACAGGGAGCTATGGGGATGGTTGTGTGCAACTGGACGGGGAAGGGACATCTCACCCACCTCCCCTTCTCCTGGGCAGGGCTACTGATGGCTGCCGGTTTGAGCTGGGGCACAGATGTACACTGGGTAAGGTTCCAGATTTGAAAGATTCAATTCCTGAAAAGTGTAATTATAGCTTCAAGTCCAATTTAAGAATATAATAGCCTTATTCTCCTGTCAGGGAAGGCTCCACAGGAATATACTGTTTTGAGTGTGGTACATGAGTCTGGATAACTCAGTTACCTCCCTTAGCTCCTCCTTTCCAGAAGAGCCATGTGCAGAAGGTAATTTTAAAGCAATAGATTCATATTTTTATATATAATCTTTCATATTCTTTTAACTGATGTCTCTTTTTTCTTGAATAGGATTTCATCCTTGGCAACTTAGCGGACTTGTTGAACCAGCATGTGTATAAAGACAAAGCTATGGTTTTGGGACATGCTCTGGTGGAGTTGGGGAGGGCAGAGACTTACCTCATGCGTTGTGCACGCAATCAGCCAGGTGAGTACTACAGTCCATGTGTATAAAGACAGAGCTTTGGTCTAGTAGAGCTGGGAAGGGCACAGACAGACAGATATATTTCATGTGGCCATGAGGCTGATAGTACAATGACATCCCGATGGATTACCAACAGTAAACAATTGAAATTGGACAATCTTGCCCAAGCTGACAGACAATGGACATCAATAAAGCTACAGGCACAGAAGAAAGACCAGCAGAGGGAAGAGAGGTGGTAGGGGTAAACAGACAGTATTCAACCATTTCATTGGATCTCAGGATGATAGTCCCACCAATCACCATCAGGTATTAACAAAACCCTGTTTATGTTCACCCAATGACCCTAGCGAATGCTCTGAAATTATGTCTGTTGAATGCGCGATCATTAAGAAACAAATGGGAAGATTGGGCTGACTTATTAGTAACAATACTGACATTTATTGTAACCGAAACTTGGCTGCAGGAAGTCGGGGACTGAGCTTCCATTGCAGCTCTGACACCAACAGGTTACAAATTCATCAACTCAAGGTGGAGGACTTGCCATCATTTTCATGAACTATTTAAATGTCAAACCCTGTTTCTGTTCCCGGATGCTAAATCATATCAATACATTTAAGTTTTCCTTATCAACGGTGAGACTACTACTCAAATTTTTGCCTTATACCGTCCTCCACCAACCAAGAAGAATCAGTTACCAAACTCTATGTTTTATGAGTCTAGGGTTAGGACGAGTTAAAATTTACTACCCGTGTACCCACTGTAGGTCTCAAGAGTTGGGTACAACATGTCTGATTGGGAATTGTTTTACCGCAGCCCTGGAAAAATTATTTAGATACATGTATCAAACGATCAGATTATCCATGCACTGAAGTTGACTGAAGCTTCATCTTTACCCGAACATACAGAAGTTGAATGAATGTGTGCATTGTCAGAAAGAAATGTGACCATTAATGACTTGAAGTGTAACCAATGAGCTATAATGAGTTTTGTCATTAAACAATATATCACGTGACTAACCACGGGCGGGTAGTCCTGTGGGTATCCGGATCCTACTCAGGCCCCACCCGACCCAAGTACCCGAGTTACCCGTCCCAGCCCTAGATGAGTCCTCAGAACTCATGGATACTGCCATCCATACTAAAGGAAGATTGATCATTCTTGGTGACTAACTTTCACTTTGACAAACCTCATAATTCTGACACTATAAACATATGATGAAAGTATTGAAATTAATAGCCTCGTTCAGCATGTGATGGTCACAACTCACAAAAGTGGCCACATTCTGGATTGGGTACTCACCATGAGTTGGAAGATTGTTAGACTAACATTTAGTCTCTGAAATCTTATATTACACAATATCCTTCTTGACTCTAAAAATAAAACAAAATTCCCTATGCTGATTTCAGATAGAGCTAGCTTGAGCTGGCTAGACTTGCTTTTTGCTTTTTCTAGATTATTATTTTTTCATAAAATAAATATATTCCACGGTCATGGTGCAGGACTAGAAGATTGTGTGCGCACTACAGAAGTGACTGACATGCAAATATCAGATCACTTCCTCATGACCACAGTGCTGGACACAAGGCCACCCTGCCCTACCCTACCATATCTGTTAGGTGCAGAAATATCAGACAAATGGAAAATGAGGCCTTCAGAGAGGACCTCCCTTGCTGTAATCTGGTTCAAAGTCCTGACAAATGGGAACATCTTTTGGAAATACATGTATACAACGTTCATGTTGGGACTTCATGTTCAGAGAATAGAAAGAAAATACTACACAGGCCAGAATCACCCCAGACTTTCACCCCAGAAGTGAGTATTGCTGAAAGGGATTGGAGAAAAGAAGACAGAAAGTGGAGAAAATCACATCTTAAAATCAATAAACGGCTGTATGTGTCTACACGGAACAAAGTGACATCAGTTATCACACGATGTGAACAAAAATACATGAACTCCCAAATTAACGAAAGTTTGTCAAACCCTAATGCTCTCTATAAACTCTTGTCTACTCTGATGGAAAAATCAACAAGTAAATCCTGCCCCTCGATCGGGGATACTCAAGAAACTGCACAGTCATTTGCTAATTACTTCAACACTAAGATTGAAATAATACAAGGCCTTTTGAAGGAAACCAACTGGCTTCACAGATTCATGTCCAGCAGTATTCAACCAAGAACCTCTGAATACACTGGTGTCATTCACTGAAAGTAAGATAAGGTCAATTCTGAAGAGAGCAAAGCCACCACTGTGTCCTCTATATCCTATCCCAACTAGACCTTTGTATGAAAATATTGACATTCTTCTCCCAATAGTAAGCGGAATAGTCATCATGAGCCGGGGCATGGGTGGCCCAGTCGTCTAAGCCGCCACAATTTGCTGTGCAGAGTTGCGTCCCTTGGGCACGCCAGAAGCCTAAGATAGTGGGTTCGAATCCTGGTTCGCCCCGATTATGTTTCTAGGTTTGCCAGCACCATACCCATGCTCGTGGGTTTCACCGAAGTGGTAGACTGGGATGCCAGTTGACATGAAGAAGGCCTTGATAAAACCTCTTCTCAAAGAGACATGGCTAGATCCAGATAACCTGAAGAACTGTAGATTTTCAGATGTATTATCAGTCAGATCACATTTAATAATAAAATATTTTGCTTTTGCTTTGCTTTGTTTATCTTATCTAGTTACTTCCACTTTGTCAATGTCATATAACATGATAAAATCACCATGACAAGAAAAGCCAAATATCCTCTTTGTATATACATATATGTGTGTGATAAAGTTTGTGAATAATCGCCTGAGCTGATGCATGAACTGTGTAACAGATCTGGGCCCTGTTCGGGGCCCAGGTGGACATCAAACCAGAAGGATGGGATAACCTATTTTTATATCAATTCTTCTGCAGATGTTACAAGACTTGAAGTATAATCAATGTAGCAGGTGTATAATTTATAATCTGGTCTCCATAAATGTTGTATGTGTTGTAAATCAATACATCAGGGCCCACTTGCACAAAGCGATCTTAGTGCTACAACTATTGTAAGCCTTTGTTAAAGTATGGGAGTCACGATCATCTTAGGGCTAAGATCGCTTTGTGCAAGTGGGCCAAGGTCTGTTTTTTTATCACAGACAACAATTTTATTTCAGACTCCTTCTTTCATAGAATACATTATTTGGCAACCCCTCCTCTTTCGCTGTCATTTTTTCATGGGTTCATTGGTTACAGTGTGTGTCATTTTTCATCAAGGGTACATTTCTGTATAACTCTTTCATCGAGGGTACATTTCTGTATTACATTTTCATCGAGGGTACATTTCTGTATTACTCTTTCATCGAGGGTACATTTCTGTATTACTCTTTCATCGAGGGTACATTTCTGTATTACACTTTCATTGAGGGTACATTTCTGTATTACACTTTCAACGAGGGTACATTTCTGTATAACTCTTTCATTGAGGGTACCTTTCTGTATAACACTTTCATCAAGGGTACATTTCTGTATAACTCTTTCAACGAGGGTACATTTCTGTATAACACTTTCATCGAGGGTACATTTCTGTATAACACTTTCATCGAGGGTACATTTCTGTATAACTCTTTCATTGAGGGTACATTTCTGTATAACACTTTCATCAAGGGTACATTTCTGTATAACACTTTCATCGAGGGTACATTTCTGTATTACACTTTCAACGAGGGTACATTTCTGTATTACACTTTCATCGAGGGTACATTTCTGTATTACTTTCATCGAGGGTACATTTCTGTATTACACTTTCATCGAGGGTACATTTCTGTATTACACTTTCAACGAGGGTACATTTATGTACTACACTTTCATCGAGGGTACATTTCTGTATTACACTTTCAACGAGGGTACATTTCTGTACTACACTTTCATCGAGGGTACATTTCTGTATTACACTTTCATCGAGGGTACATTTCTGTATTACACTTTCATCGAGGGTACATTTCTGTATCACACTATATGAAAATGACCCCATCTTGTTAATTATTGCCTTGTGTTTCTCCCCAGGCAATGATGTGGGAGATTTGCCGGATGAGCACGGATCTGTCCTGTTCCAGTTTCTGTCCTACCCTGATGGTGTTCCCTTAGAATATTTGGCTCCCGATGTCATACAGGTAAATACCATAACCATGATAATAGACACATCTCTTTGTCTGACGATCCTCTTGTGAAGCATGTCAAGACTCATGATGAAAACAAGGCATTCCACAGTTTTCGTAAACGAGCCAAGGATGTGGGACCTAATCTAAATGTCAATGTTGATGGTTCTGTACTGCTGGACGGTACAGAATATGAGTGTCAACCAAGCAAAGTTTGCTGTTTGCTGCTCAGGACCAGTCACTTCCCACTCGAAACCGTCAATGTGTGATTTTGCATCAAAATGTAAATATGAAATGTAGATTATGTAATGAATTTAATGAGACTGTCCAACACATTGTCAGTGCATGCCCAGATTTGGCACTATCACAGTATCTTAAGCGACATGATGGAGTGGCTCGATCATTTTATTACCGTCTTTGCAATGCTTGTGGTTTTGATGCAGAGGTCCATCCATCGTACGACCCAGAATATGACGAGGGCGTCATGGAAAATGATAAACTTTGGAATAGGTCCGTATACAGCCTAAGGCGTATCCATGCCAATAAACTTGATCTTGTCCTTTTTGATAAATCCAATGAAATCATTTATATTATTGAATTTTCTGTCCCTTTTGACACTAATGTGATTGACAAGATTAAGGAAAAACATGGCAAATATGCAGACCTTGCTTTTGAAAGGTCAAGCTTGCATCCCAAGTACCAAGTTGTCCGACTCATTTTTCTGGGTGGGTGACTAGGCAGCGCCTCCTACGAGAAGTCCCATCCTCAGTCTGGGCTGCCTGTAGATGGGGCAAGGGCCCTGAGCTGATGATGAGCCTCATCAGCC